AATAATTTGCTCAAACTAAACTGATTCATTCATAAAACTATAATCCAAGGTAATATATCAGAGTATACCTCCAATAGTTTCACAAAGAGACGCATAGCTTCAGTAGAAGCCATGTTCGCTAGTTCCTTCCAGCTGCATAAATTTTAAAATGCTTTAGAAGAGAGGCATTCATTACAAACCAACCCCCCAGCCAAAAAAAGGAACAACTGTCACATCTGTAACATATTAAACCATTCTGGACTGCCTAAATCTTAGCATTACATAGACATAATCAGAAAACCAAGCCATTACCAAAATCTTTCTAAATAGCACACCATAAATTTCCCCAATATGTCAATGTTTAGCCCACCCTAGGCTAGCATATATATACGCTAAACAAGAAATCCTTCTCCATGATGTTGTCTACTGGAATTCAGCAATTGAAACCTATGCAGCACAGCACAGCTCACAAATGCCACTCAAGAAAATCTAGCATTTTGCACGCCACCTCCATGCATGTTTTGTTTCACACCTTTTGGAAAAGAATTCAACTATCATATTTCTTTCCTAACCTAAACACTGCATTACAAGACAACACCCCTACATGCAAAAGCTTGTAACATATAGATGGGAATTTTCATATACTAATAAAACCAAATGCATTAATAAATCACAAATAGCATGTTAGAGGTTTAGAAACCTTTGCCATTTGCTCTGTTCAACACGACTCCAAGAACTGGGCTTTGGAGCATTACAAGGTCCTACAATGGCCTGCAATCACATCCACAACAAGAAAATTAGTCAGTTATTGACAAGTGAACCTCATACATTGAAAAAAGTAATAAACATCACGAGATCAATACTAGGTGCCTAAAACTAGATCTACTTAAACAACATTTTACCAGCCTCAAAACATACAAATTATAAGGTAAAAAAAAAAATCTATTAGATAACGCAAATCCTTAAGCACACATCAGCATCTATGAAATCAGTAATCAAGCCCCTGATACAATAATCAATCATCCTAGCTCGGATCAACTTCAATAATATCATGCGCAGAAAGCAATCATCAAGAACAAAACTATAATCACGCGAGATTCAATCTTACGAAATTCCAACACGCATCTCTTGGAAACAAAAAAATCAGCAAAAACCAGTGATAACAAAACGAGCTAAAGATCTAAAACAGAGGATCCGAGAAATTGAGAGGTGAAAATGAAGAATGAGATACAGAGAGGAAGACGTACCTGCTTGTACAAAGCGTAGAGGATCAAAGCGACATCTGGTTTGAACTTGGCCTCGATGTCCTTGGTGGAAGAATGCGGAGATCCGTCGAAACCGGCGTAGGACGCCGCGGCAAAGAATCGCTGGGGGTACGCGAGCCCAGAGCTCGCCCTCGCCATGGCCATTCGCGGCGTCTCAGCGGGCGAATTTGATCAGAGATTTCCTGGAATCAGAGAATCAGATACGTATAGAATTCACGATTCCGGAGAGTTTCAAGTGAAATGCAAAGAAGAAAATGTAGCAGTGTTCTGTTTTGGCGGAGTTTAGGCGTAGAGCTTATATATAGCTACGTTCGGCTTCTGTTTTTACCGTTTTCGTCTTGTTTAGTGTCGGCATGGACCATTGGC